TTTTCCTTTTTATTCTTACACTTCCAATAAAAATAAAAACAAACAACCAATCACGGCGTGTCTCGATCAATTTCGGGAAAAAGTTTCGACAAAATTTTTACAACACGGGTTTATATTTATCGTACTACTTCGCAAAGCAATCAAGGCCAAACTTTGTGGTGGCTTCAGAAAAATAAGTAAACATAGAGTATACATTAATATCATTAGTTTGTAATGGAGTGTAATGTAATATCACTATATTAAACTGATATGAAAAATCAAAAACAGTGAACATTTAGAAAACGGTTACCGATGGTAGCTTAAAGATTGATTCTCACTATACCTTCCATATCAGTTCCCTTCCATTTCCCTTCCTTTCCATGTAAATGAATAGGACAATGCACACTATCCGTTCCATTTCCCTTCCGTTCCATATCCTTTCCTTGCATACATTTTTTTGGCGGACGAACTGAGGCGTATCGGAAACAGAGTTGTCCAGTTCTTACATTTGTACCAGCTCTGTTAAAACTTTGCTGATATTTATTTATTATTTCACCTCTTAATTAAATCTATTACATTTTTCAAAAGATACAAATTTTTGAAATAAAACTTTCGTAATGATATAAATTGTACAATAAAAAGTATGGAACTGAAACTGAACGTATAGCGTCAATACAATAAAAAAATACGGAACTGATATGGAATGGATATGGAATGGATATGGAATGGATATGGAATGGATATGGAATGGATATGGAATGGATATGGAATGGATATGGAATGGATATGGAATGGATATGGAATGGATATGGAATGGATATGGAATGGATATGGAATGGATATGGAATGGATATGGAATGGATATGGAATGGATATGGAATGGATATGGAATGGATATGGAATGGATATGGAATGGATATGGAATGGATATGGAATGGATATGGAATGGATATGGAATGGATATGGAATGGATATGGAATGGATATGGAATGGATATGGAATGGATATGGAATGGATATGGAATGGATATGGAATGGATATGGAATGGATATGGAATGGATATGGAATGGATATGGAATGGATATGGAATGGATATGGAATGGATATGGAATGGATATGGAATGGATATGGAATGGATATGGAATGGATATGGAATGGATATGGAATGGATATGGAATGGATATGGAATGGATATGGAATGGATATGGAATGGATATGGAATGGATATGGAATGGATATGGAATGGATATGGAATGGATATGGAATGGATATGGAATGGATATGGAATGGATATGGAATGGATATGGAATGGATATGGAATGGATATGGAATGGATATGGAATGGATATGGAATGGATATGGAATGGATATGGAATGGATATGGAATGGATATGGAATGGATATGGAATGGATATGGAATGGATATGGAATGGATATGGAATGGATATGGAATGGATATGGAATGGATATGGAATGGATATGGAATGGATATGAAATGGATATGGAATGGATATGGAATGGAAACGGCAGGTATAGTGAGAATCAACCTTAAATTGGCTATTCCTCTAATCATTGTAATATTATTAATTAGAATATAAACTTAAAATCGCAAAACTGCAGAGCAACAGTAACTAACTGTTCTGGTGGTCCGCCTTTTATAGGTTATAATTACCATTATTATTCCACGGTCTTAAACTTATTTATAAACCTACAGTACTACAGCAAAGTAGACCTGCTGTAGTAGCTGTAAAGGTATTGCAAGTATGATTATATTTCGTTGTTAATTTCAAGTAAATTTTTTACACACAAAATTATTATTTTTAACTTTTACTCTTTTGTAGCCACATTCATTGCCCTCTTTTATAGTCACACTCTACAGTTATAGGCTGATGCTTAAAAAAATAAATTTGCTACGTAATATATCAAATCTTAAATTGATATAGTTCGTAACAAATTTAAATCTCTAATTATTAAGTTTCTCTAATTAAAAGAAAGTGTCATAGGAGCAGAAAAGATATAGCTAGCAAATTATTCTGAAAATGTAGATTCAACAACACCAAATTATAACCACATTGCAATATAGACACAAATGTTTAATCAGTTGATAATGATCAAGAATACATCGATATTTTTAAAAATTATCGAAATTATGATAAATGTAGGTATCGATATTTAGGAACGTATCTAAGGCCTCATTTTTCCATCCTGCAGGGCCACTTTTGTACGACAACGGCTACATGAGCACCATAATTTGTTTGTTTTATGCCAACCGACCCTTTCCATTTAATATTCTACCTGATTTAATTTTTGTACCGATAAAAATTTACGTATTACGATTTATCTGGACTTAAAAGAGCAAAAAGAACGAAACATAAATACGATTAATCAGCAAAAAAATATATTTTTATTTTTATAAGAGTTGTCCGAGAAACAAGCGCACTAACCGTCACTGGGAACAATCACAGGGTGCGAAACAAACCAAACCAAACACCATTTAAAAATAAATTTTACTCAATATAAAAATAAATTAGAACCTTCTTAAGGCCAACTGGCTCTAAACGCCATTGAAAATTGAGAAGATTACAGGCCAAATAAATGAAGTCTGGAGCTTAACTTAACCTCGCCAAAATTATTATCAACTGTCAACCCAGCCGTTTTAACGCCGTTTTTTTTTCATCCTATAGTATTAAAATTTCTACTAATTATAGTATTATTTAAGTATCATCTACATGCCAAGTTTAGAATATATTTTTACATCGTGACTACTGAGGAAGAATTAAAAAAACAATTTCTCTCTCTCTGACAACAAATTTACATGCACTGAAATTATGATATGTGTTGCACAGCATGTCATTTTTGTATACTTATAATATTATATGTTACGGACAATAATGTGTACAATGTATTTACGATAATACTCGCTCAATAACGTAAGTACCCCCAATCATAGATAAAGGAAATAAATTTAGATTGGAATGCAATCTGGTAATCTATAGAGGTTGCTAAGATCTCTTGTCAAAGTGAGAATCTTCAAAAATTATAAAATCTTTCAAAATCTAAACCGCTCCCATTGAAAAAATTCCAAAAAGTGTTTAAAGCGTCCATTTTCAAAGTAATTATTGCTATCTTGTGAGTTTAATTTAAGTTTTATTTACTCAAACCCGTGATAATTGTGAAGTGGCATTAGTGGCATTAAAAACTTAAAAAGCTGTGCTGTGAACTGTGAACTGCAAAAACCATCATGGATCGCGGTATAACATCCAAGGATATAACGTCGGTTTCCATTTCATACATGTCCTTATATAAAATAAAGTTTCTTGTATGCAACACACTGTATTTGATTTGTAAAATTAAAAGAAAATAATAATAAATTTGTGTGAAAGAAAGAAATACAAGGTCAGTTAAATGGAGGCATAGTTGCGTAATTTGTTGCTGATCAAAGTACCATCTTAAAAGTTTAACATTTCGGAATACTTAACGAAAGATAAAAAAGAAAGAGATTTTTGGAAAAATACGAATATTCGTGATTTCAATTTTATTTTTTTATCACTCAGTTTGAATAGATATAACAAAATAAATGTCACCTTGTCATTGGTGTGTTTTGTTCTAGTTCTACTGTGTTCAGATTTTCAAACTGACGACGCGACGTTTGGTCTTTGAGCTCCCATCATCTACTTTCATTTTTTAAATACGACGCGGCCCCAGGATTTATATTTAATTTTTAAGAGCTTCCAGGACCCCAAAACCAATGATGAATCGCATTTTTTATCGTACTCGAACAATTCATATTAATAGCAATTTCCATCAGAGCTCATGTGTTAGAGAACGACAGAGAATAAGATTCTGGTGATCTGATCTTCCCAGAAAATCAATAATATGAATTTTCCAAATAAGTGGAATACATTATTGGTTTTGAGACCTTAGAAGTTTTTAAAATTCGTAATAAAAAAACGATGACCGTATTAAAAAACAGAAAATCTGATAACAGCCATCTTGTAGTCATAACCAAACCAAACCAAACCACAAACAAAAAAAATAAGTCATCAAAAAATGAAAATAAAATGATAAATACACACACCGGAAAAGTCTAGGGATATTACAATTTTATCCAGCAATTGTCACTTTTATTATTTGCATTTCTGATATAATTAAATTAAAATAAACAAATAGTTTACAGGACGTATTGGAAATAAAAATGCGAAATTTACCGATTTTTTCAAATTTACCTTGATTTTTATTGAACTCAAAAAAATACACACATTTTTTTTTATTCTAAACTGTGAATTAAAAAAAAAAGATAAAACCGTTTTTACTTAATAAAGGGTATGGCCTTCTCTACTGTTCATTACAGCCCTACATCGTCTCTCCATGCTCCTGCCACATGCATTAATGCCACGCTGCATTCACGGCACGAACCAAATCCCTACGAGTTTCACGAGGCATACCCATTCTCAAAATTCTTCTTTGGACAGCGTTCCATACGTGCTCGGGGGGGTTGAGGTCAGGAGATTGTGCCGGCCAGGGTAAGATGTTTAATTGATGAGCATTGATAAACTCACTTACCACTCTGGCCAGGGCCGGCTTAAGGGGGGCGCGAAGTGGGCGGCCGCCCGGGGCGGCGCCTGCTAGGGGCGGCACATCCAGGTGTGGCAAATCAATTACAACTCAAAAATTTCGTAAAAATTTTTATTAACATCGGCCAAAGATTTGAAAAGAAAATGACATCAATAACATAAATAGAACCGATACTAAACATTGTTTAAATAAGCTTATTATTATGCGAACTTTGTATGCATGATTGGGACAACCCGCAAAAGGCTCATGTGTGTTGTGTTGCATAGCCTCGGGCATAAGTGAACAAATTTGATTAAGAAAGACAATGCATTGCGCGAGAGAGAGAACAATAGAAGTTTCCTAGAAAGGAAGAGAAATAATAAAGGTCCAGAAGATCAACCTCTGTCAGCGCAACGTCGAGTACATCATCAGTAGTCGAAATTCTTAATTATGATGAAAATAAGACAATGATTAGACAGGTTTCCGCTAGTAGAGATCATACCGAGTGTAATGAAGAAACTAATAATTTAGTAATCGATCCTGATCCAGCCAAATGGCCAGAAATAATTATGGATAAAGATAGAGTCTTTTTAGTGAAGAGAGGGCCACCACCAGCACTAACCAATTTTAGATTTCCCCTTGATAAAAACGGGAGAAAATTTACCTCATTTAATTTTAACCGTGTCTTAAGCAACGGAGAATCCGTCAAAAGAAATTGGTTAATATACTCAACTTCTAAAAATGTTCTTTTCTGCTTTTGTTGTAAACTCTTTGCTCATTCAAATAAAACTAATCTATCTAATGAAGGATTCAACAACTGGAAACATACTGGAGTTACATTCAAAAAACATAAACTATCAATGGCCCACATGTTAGCCCAAAAATCCTGGTCAGAACTATCTATAAGGTTAAATCAGATGCAAGTTATTGACGCTTCGATCCAAAGATTAATTGATTCTGAAACTAAACACTGGAACAGCGTTTGCTTGGCCTTTAGAGGTTCCTCTGATAAACTTTACAAACACAATAATGGAAATTTCCTTAAATTAGTCCAGCTACTCGCAAAATTTGACCCAATAATGGAAGAACACGTGAATCGAGTTATGCGTGACGATACCAGAAAAGTACATTATTTGGGCAAAAATATACAGAATGAAATTATCACCTTACTATCAGAGGAAATAAAAAAACATATAATTACTCAGGTCAATGAAGCGAAATATTATAGCATCATATTGGACTGCACTCCAGACCTCAGCAAAATAGAGCAAATGACAATGGTAATAAGATTTGTTTCTGTCTCCAAAGTAGGAAACGAAGTCAATGTGAGATACGTGAGCACTTTTTAGGATTTGTTCCGATTGAAAAAGCAATCGGTCTTCAACTTTCTGAGATACTAATTAATTAACTAAGTGAAATGCAAATCCCAATAGAACACGAGGGGTCAGGGATACGATAATGGCTCCAATATAAGGGGTTTACGGGCAGGTGTGTAAAGCCGAATTCGTAACATAAATCCACGGGCATTTTTTGTTCCTTGCAGCAGTCACTCTTTAAATTTAGTCGTTAATGATATGGCATCGACCTCTTTGGAAGCCACAAATTTTTTTGGAATTATCCAAAAAAATTATGTTTTCTTTGCAGCATCCGCACAACAATGGGATACCCTAAAGAGACATATTTCTTCTCTTACTTTGAAGCCCCTAAGTACTACGAGATGGGAAAGCAGAGTAGATGCAGTTAAGACGTTTAGATATCAAATTGGCGAAATCTATGCTAATCTCTGCTAATAATCTCTGCTAAATATTTTTGAAAATCCTGAAATCGAAATTTCGGCAAGAAATGAAGCTTCAGATTTGCTGGAACAACTGAAGAATTTCAAATTTTTATGCTCTGTTATAATTTGGTACGACGTCTTAATATATAAATCAAAACAAATACATAAATCCAATAAGTAAATTATTACAGAGCAAGCAGTTGGACTTACAAAACACAATAAATATTTTGGATAAAACAAAGACATATATCAACAATCTTCGCTCTGACAATGCATTCAACCGTTTTTTGGTAGATGCTAAAGAATTAGCAACAGAGATTGATGTAGACGCCCACTTTCCAGAAACTAAAACTAGACCTCGTACACTTAAAGTAAAACGTCAGTTTGATTACGAAGCTTCCGATGAACCTATAGTTGACCCAAAAGAAAAATTTAAAATAGATTTTTTTTTCCAATATTAGACGCAGCTGCAAACTCTCTCGATCAGCGTTTCGAGCAAATAAAAGAGCACAGTAAATATTTCCACTTTTTATATGATATGCATTTGCTTCAAAATCTTCGTCAGCTGAGATATTGAGTTTTTGCAATGATTTAGGACATGTTCTAAAACATGAAGATGCTTTAGACGTGAACGCGACAGAACTGGCTGATGAACTCTCTGTGTTGTGTACGTTAGTGGAACCCAAACAAACTCCCATTGAAATCTTAAAATTGGCGATTCAACTAAATATTGCCCCTAATGTTGTAGCCTTCAGGATCTTATTAACATTGTCAATAACTGTTGCAAGTGGCGAGAGAAGTTTCTCCAAGTTGAAACTAATTAAAACGTACTTGAGATCAACTATGAGCCAAGAAAGGTTAAGTGGCTTAGCAATGATTGCTATTGAGCATGAACTTGGATCAAAATTAAAAATTGATCAGCTACTTACTGAATTTGCTGCGTCTAAAGCACGAAAACACTTTAATTAAGAATTTTCATCGTTGATTAATTTTTTAAGTTTACTTTTTAAGTTTATATTTGATTTTCTATTTTGTTACCCGATTTTGTATGTTGATATAAATAAAGTTTGTTTCTCGATCTCGACTTCAAATTTTCCCTAAGAGAATCAGGGCGCCTATCATGGGGCGGTAAAATTACTCATCGCCCAGGGCGGCAAAAGACCTAGAGCCGGCCCTGACTCTGGCTGTATGAGGCCGTGGGCTTCATTCTCATGCATGAGAATGAAGTTTCTCCCAAATTCATTGGCATATGGTAACACGACAGGCTCAAGAATTAAATCACGATATGTGATTCCTGTTAGAAACCTTTCAAGAAAAACGAGATCGGTTTTTCGGCCTAACTGGACTCCTCCCCAGACCATAACTGTTCCACCTTGATAAGGGTGCACCTCCTGAACATGATCTAACCGAATAAGATTTTCCGGTTCTCTCCATACCCTAAGCCTTCTCGAATCCGGATGAATTCCAAAGCGTGACTTATCCGTGAAAAGAACATTGGCCCATTGTTCATTCGACCACTGAACATGATCTTGAGCCCACAAATATCGTACCCCTCGATTTCCTCTCGTTAAGGGTTGAGCTCTCCAGGGGCGTCTGCTTCTTAAGTTGACCTCTCTTAATCTATTGCGAACAGTGTCAGGACTAACGGGTACATTATGTGTTTCCTGGAGAATTAAACTAAGCTCTGGTACTGTAAAGTCGGTCGGCGTCGAGCATTTAATTGTAAAAAATGATCTTGCTGAGGGGTAGTAATGCGATGTCGCCCTGTGTGCCTTTCAGCAACATCACCACTTTCACGGTAGCGTGCACTTAATCGCGATATTACACTTTGCGTTGTATTTAATGCTCTAGCTACGTCGATTTGGCGCATTCCAGCTTCGAGCATACCCATGGCCCTTGGCATTTCGTCTCTGTTAAGATGTCTACGCTCCATAATATCGTTTAACACTAAACAGAGTTATTTGAATGAATTCTGGCCAGTTATCATAAAAACATAGCCAGTACAGGTTAAATTTGAACAATTGATGCTAGGTGTTTTTTATACATTTGACAAAAAATGCACAAACATTTCTGCAAATATCCCAAATTTAGAAATAACTAGTATGACTACTTCGTTTCAATCGAAGTAGAAAGAATCGGCCTACAAATATGTGGTTCTTTATTCAAAACATTTATTTTTAACTTTAATAAAATTGTATCCCTAGATTTTTCCGGTGTGTGTATTTCCTTTTTTTCCAAAAATTAAATTTTAAAAGAATCTTAAAAACCATTAGATATTTTTTACCTTTTAAAGTGGTATTTTGAGCAACATTAAATTGCACAACTTTGTCTCCACTTGACCCACCTTATATCTCCAGTTATATCTCCGAAATTTCAATATAAGGCTCGAATTTGAGACATCCTGTATAATAAAATTGATAATAATCCTGAATAAAATTTCTTTCCGCAAGCAGTATTAATAATAATGATCTAGGAATAGATGCACATTTTTATATTGAATATAATCAATAAAAACAACCAACCGCTTAAAATACATCGAATCAATGTTGCCCCAAAAATGCCCCTTTAGCAAAATTAACTTAGTTTACCATTGTTACTCACGTGTTTCCAGGATTCACTACTTGATGTCGCACAATTAAACTTACACTAACCTAAAGAAAACAAAAGATCAAATCAAAATAATATTCCGTTTTTTAGTTAAACTATATTAAACTATATTATGTTATTAAACTATATTAAACTATATTATGTTATAGATAAATAAAACTCTCTATAATTAATTAATTTTACTGTTACCCAAAAGGGGGCAAAAAATATTGTTTTTTTTTTTCAAACGTCACAAAAGTTGGGCAAACTATAAAGAGGAAGAGGAACAGGAAAGAGGAGGTTTAATTGCGATCTTTATTCTCATTGGGCAAAAATATTTGAAATTAAAGTAGCGGTAATTTTAGTGCGATCGCAGCGCCCAGGCAAAGGAACAATAAAAGCTGCACTGAGAGTGGATAGCAAGGGTATGATCAAAGAATATACCGGTTGCGTCTCAAAAGTGACTCACCCCTATTATTTTTCAGATAAAAAAACAAGATTTGGTATGTTAGTTTACGAAAGACATTAGGATTAATTGACGTATTCAATTGTTTTTGGTCACTTCCTGTTTCACCGGAAATAACTACAACTTTTGATTTTTAAATGACACACTCGGTATTTTTTTTACTTTATTCGATAGAAAATGACACTCTGAATAGAATGACATCAGTGTCAACTTTTGACATTTTGACTTAAAAAAAATTGTATTTTAAATTTCAATCTAGAGTGCCATTTCTGTGTTAAAAACAATAATTTTTAATCATAGAGCCCTGGAAAAATAGATTTCATCGTCTAATATTTTTCGTGTCTTGTCCTGGGCAGTTAAAAGATGCCCAAATCGTATTTTTAATCATATCTCAAGTTTTTCAAACGGAACAAGGGTGGCTCATAAAAATATTTGGAAAAAACTTTTTTTTTGTATTTCCAGTCAAATTAACAGGAATAGAATGTTTGGCATAGAATTTCTAACACCTTGTATGGTTTAAGATTACGATATTTATAGGAAAGTAAGTAATACCTAATATAGTTTTGATTTCAGAACATTTCTTGGATTTTTAATATTTTTTATAAGTAAAGATGAAAAAAATATATTTTTTATCTATTTACTTTTTATCTTTGAAACTATCAAAACGTATTTAATAATATTTTAGGATTATGTAAAGTGATCAGAAAGGAAGCCAAATATGCAATAATATACAGGGTGTTCTTTATAAAAAAATCATCACAATCCACACACACTTTTTTGAGCCACCCTATAGAAGTTAAAATATTTTCTTGAAATACATTCTATTACATACTTTAGGTTTGCACTTGCAAACAAAATTCCTTTTTTTATTCTAAGAGCTACAGATGCCTGACGAACTATTGCCGGACCCTGTATATTTACTTACAAGGTATTATGGTGCGTTTAGACTTGAGCACGCCCGCACTGATCCTCTGCGAATGCTCAAGCTCAAGTGTAAACGGCTGTGCGCGCACGCTTACTCTGAATCTGTCTGTGCGCGAGCAGCCGCGAACGTGAGCCGTCTGGTGTTGGTTTTTGGTCCGTGCTCAAAGGGATTTTATGTGTGCGCCAACGCTCAACTTGCACCGGCAATTTGTTTTGTCTGCGTTCGTGCGTGCGTGTGTAAATTTTTTTCGTTTTCTTTATTAAAATTATGGAGTGGATCAATGATGAATCTTCGTTATTATTAATTGAAGAATATGAAAAGTTGCCTATATTATGGGATGTTAAACATTCTTTAGTATTATTAAAAAACCAAAAAAAAACGCATGGCAAGACCTTGTAAATAAAATTAACATTGAATATGTCGATATTAATGAAATTGCTATTCTAAAATTTGTATCTTTTGTTCGTAATTTTTGGTGTTATTAAATTTTGTAAATATTCAAAGTCGGGCCTGGTGATTCTTGTAAAGCTTTTGAACTGATCATAGCCCTCCTCAGACACTAAGTTGTTGCAGTAAATTATATCGATTTCTAAAA